GGACATCCTCGGCTTGATCCATCGTTTTCTCCGACGCCGGTGAACCGCAACAAACCATTATTGGCAGGGTTTCCGGGCAACCGCCCTCTGCTTGTGTTTTGTTGTCTCATTTTTCTGCTTTCCTCGGGCTTTGGCGGAGCTAGCATTCGACTGATTGAAGTTGCCCAAGGCTTGACGAAAGAAGGATAGGAGCTGTATTGCCGATGACCTATGGCGAGACACTGATGGGGCTTAGATTCATGTTATCGCCTGGTGGCGACTAGGTTTGGCTGGGAGTCCCACTGCTACTGGGCAGGGTAATGTTTTCCCACCCAACCTTACATATATATTTGCTCCACAATCACTCGACCGCTCAGGCTCGTTTTTCTCACAAAACCCTTGTCTTACTTTTCTCTCATCGTACATCTGCTCTGTTCTTTTGTCTAGTTCCCCACTGCAGATCAGAGATCGAGCATCATGCGCCGTGAGCCCACACATCCGCCCTAAAGCCTGAGCGTGGCCAAAACGGAGTTGGGGCAAGATCACTTCAGAGCATTCAGACTCCATCAAAACCTGAAAATCTTCGAAAGTGGGACACATCTCTTGGCCGCCAAAGCTAAAAACATGCGTCACTGGGTTCCAGAACCTTGCCGCGGCATGGAGAAAAGGGAGCTGTAGCGGAGTACGGCTCAGCGTGAATAGTGCATTCAAGCCGAAACCCCGGAAGTTCAGCTTTTCCGAGCCATCTAGAGAAGAGATCCAAGATGTGAGATTTTATGCGAGAAACGCCTCCATCTTTGTGTAAAACTAAGGTGAAATGAATGTTCCCGAAGTTGAAGCTTTTATAGAAGGAAAAACACTATTCACGGGGACACGTGTCAAAAACCAGGTGGCTGCAGGAACAAGTGGCCGGCCGGCCACCTTTTCTGGCTGGCCAGCCATTCTCTTTTTCAAAAATGGCCGGCCAGCTGTCTCTCTCCACAAAATTGGCCGGCCGGCTCCCAAAGGTGGCCGGCAATGCTGCAATGTATCCCCTTGGCCCTGTTTTACCCTTCGAGGGAAAGTTCCAAGCATTTCCATGCAACGGGAGAATCAAAGGCCTTCATTTCCCTCTGTTTCGGATATGTTCCGGTGCCCAGATCGTCAGAAGTACACTCTGTTGTTGTTTTGATTATCGAGTTGTTGTTTTGCTTATCGAGTTGTTTGTCGGGCGGACGTGTTTTCGAGTCATTGCGCTCTGTTTAAGCAATCTTTGTTTAAGTCTTGTTTATTTGCGTTGTCAACGTTATTGCATTTTGTTTATTGAGTTGTAAACTTGCTAAAGGTTCTGTTATATCTTAGTAAGTTGAGTTGCTTAGTTTGTTGCGTCGGTTCACTGCCTGACTTGGTGATTACACAATGCACATTCCCATTCAAATTCTTTTTTGTTCAAAATAAAATGATGCGATACGATGCTAAAAGTTCAAAATACAAACACCTTTTCAAAAGCTATTTCATTCCATCATGCTTTACAACAAACAAAGGTACAAGTTTTACGAAAAATAAAACTACCTAACAATGTGCAAAGTGCTACAAACTACTAGCAAAAAGAAAAATAAAGCAGGAAATAGCAACATCAATGTCCTCGGGAGCGGGAAAGAGAAGCACTCCTCATCCTCTTCTGCGGGACAACCTCTGCACCATCATCATCATCTGAGTGGGAGCTGTCATCCTCAGGATCCCCCTCAGCCTCGCCTTTGTTCCCCGAACCAAGACCGGAGCCCCCCTCCTCAGCAGATGTCTCTGACTGACGATCGGTAGCCTCCTCCTCTTCCTCAACATCCTCCTCCTCCTCATCAGGCTCCGCCTCCACAACGTGAGCCCTACGTCTGCGGACAGGTCCTCCTCGAGCTCCTCGAAAAGGCCGGGATGGCCCAGCCCCCTGAAAAGGCCCGGGTGACCCAACTTCCTGAAAAGGTCCAGATGGCCCAGCTCCCCAAGGAGGCCCAGGTGGCCTGGCCTGCGGCTGACTGGACCATGAAGGCATCTGAAAAACAAAAAGTTCAATTCAAATACATCAGTCCAAATATATACATTAGATGCAGATACAAGCAAAGGCTACGTGAAGAGGGTGCATGTAAATGCAGTGTCCAAGTGGGGTGTGTGTCAGATGTGCTCTACACAAGTAGTCTATCGATGCAGTAGAAATCAGCATGTCATCAGAAGTATGATAAATGCCAGAAAACTGAAGGGTACCTGAATACCCGCGACAGACAACTGTGCCTCCCTACGCAAGACCATGCCCTCGAGTGTGGCCACCACCCCAACCACCTCCTCCATGTACCCTCGCGATGGCTGCAAATATGAGCTCATAATCATCAGTGAACAGAAGAGTGTCTAAACATCTGAATGATGAATGAAAAAA